TGGCACCTACATTTGCCATTTTGGTCCTTCTGTATTATGATTCCTTGTTTTGAGCTGTTCTTGTTCATTCTTCTGTTGTATTTGGTTTGATGACTTCTTGTAGTAGTTTTTGGAGTGGGGGTTTAGACTTGACGAAATAGTGGAGTTTCTGTTTGTTTGAGAATGTCCTTATTCCTTCTTTGTAGAGGAAGGAGAGCTTCGCAGGGTAGAGTATTCTTGGTTGGCATTTAGTGACAATCTATGGGTTTTAGCTTAACTCTACAAGCTATTCTAACTATACCAGACTCACTACTGGTGTTAATGTATGATACTAATACTAAATTAATATTAATATTAACTAACTAAATAAAGACTAATTGAAAAATCACAACTAAATTATTAAAATTATATACAATTTAAAAATAAGAAACAAACCAATTAGAAACTTACAACTAAGTTAGAAATAAAACACATATGAAACAAAAAGAACACAAAAGAACAAGGATTTAGACACTAACAAGTAACATAGACAGTGAATGAAAAAAAAAAACAAAAACAGAAGAAAAACAATAAAATGAATGAAGAGATAAGTCACAATGAAAATATCTGAGATAATTAAAATTAAAAAATAATTAACAGAGTAAAATCCAAAAATTAAAATCAAAAAGTATAAGACAAATAATATAATGAAGGAAAATAGGACAAAAGAAAATAAATATAAATAATCTAAGTCAATAACTCAATATAAACAAATCAATAAATAAATCAGTATGTAAACAAATAGGAAAGAACACACCATATCACCCTGCTCTGTCGATTCCACAGGTGACTGGGGTCTTCCTGGCTCCTGAGAACACAGACAGCCCAGTCAGGGCTTGGATAGGCTTTGGCTGTGTCCTTGCATTGGCCTCTGTGGGGTCAGTGCCAGAGGCAGCAGACCCAGTTTGAGTGAAAACCTGGATGTGGTGTATACCCTGAACAAAAAAGGAATCACAAAGCAGTTTAGTAATATATCTCGCTAGAAATTGAATTTTACCTCATGAAGTAAAACCTATAGAATGTATCCAAGGGTTTCTCACGTCTCATGAGAAAAACTG